CAGAACATATGAGCAGAAAACGGGAGTGGAACACAGGAACAGAACATAAGAACAGAACATTGGTGCAGAACACGGGAGCAGAACTTGTGAACAGCAGAGATTGTCCAGAGACAGTCCACATGGTCCACAGGAGGCCTCATCTCAGACGATGTCAAACCTTCAGCTGAAGGAGCTGTAAAGATGTTAAAACCCGCTCTGGTCTGGTCTCCTTCCATCAGTTGAACCAACAGAGGGAGCTGCTGCTCTGTCATACCTGACAGGACTGAGATCTCATGGAGGGTTCTCTCTTAGACCTCAGGACAGTTTTGCTGCAGAGTCCAGAAGTCTTGTCCTCTGAGAACAGTGCAGTCTAAATAAAATAAATCTGTCTGATCAGCCTGGGGTCACATTTCCTCTTGTGTCCACACACTAGGTGGTTGGCTGCAGTCCTGTGAACCTTCTACTGTTTAACAGTCTTGTCACCTGTGGTCAGAGGAACATGAAGTGGCTTGGAGATGGTCTTGTAACGTTTATTTTGAATGTGGAGCTCTAGAATCTTCTCTCGGAGCTCCTCGCACAGCTCTTTGGTTTCTCTGCTTCATGTTGGTGACCAGAACCAAACCAAACTACGCACAGTTTGTTCCCTTTAAACAGACTGAATGGATGATGGAACGCTTGAAGGAACCCGAGATACTAATTAGGTCGTTTTTACAGCTGATAGTCCGGAAGACTCGGTTCTGGACCAATATTCATGACCTTTTATTACATTTGAGCTGGTGCGTTTGCATTCACACTGCACTGTGCAGTCGAGTCAACCTGTTGAAGCAACCTGTTGAACCAACCTGTTGAACCAACCTGTTGAACCAACCTGTTGAACCAACCTGTTCCCCCCTCGCCTGTGGGGGCGCTGCACCAAGAACTACTGAAAGAAACAACACAAAAACCTCTGAAGACACGTCTTCTTCTTCTTCTTGTGTAAATAAAAATAAAAACGAAGTGGCATCAAGTTTTATCAGTTTTAAGAGTTATATTTTGTCATTTTTCATCAATGGACTCAGCATGAGCAGAAGATGAGACAGAAGAACATGGAGAATATTGTTCTTCACACAAGTCAGCTGACGGCTCCATATAAGAGAAATGTGTTTGTTTGTCCTGTGGAGCGGGTCCGGTCTGTTTACATTCACACTGTACTGGAACCACTGGAGTTCTCTTCTACCGGACCCAGACCTAGGTTTTAGCCCGGGCCAGAGTTCACCTTTTTGTTCCGTGACAGAGTTCGATGGTGCGTTCACACCTCCCTAAACGAACCGGACTTTCTAGGAAAACGAGCTGGAGTTGGATTAAAGTGGACTAAACAGGGCTGGTGTGAATGCAGCCTTAGAGTCAACCACTGAGGGTGAATATGATGCAGAGATCATCGTCTCTTTAAAGAATTAATCTGGAAAATAACCAAATCATTTCTTTTTGACTCCTTCACCCACTAGTCTCCAGCTGTCAGTCGTAGTGGCCTTGGTGCACGCGTATAAACCAGGTTGGTACTTTAGGTGTCATGTTAAAACGCTCAGCAGGATCTGAAAGTTACAAAAACAGGAACTTGAGCGATGAATCATCTTTAGCTGTTTGTTGATCAGCATCAGGATGAGTTTGGATGTTAAACTCTGAATTTCTGTGTTTATAGATTTGACTGTAGCAGATCTTCTCTCCAAACAACTCTTTTCCTTTAATGCATGAGTATTAGCTCAATTTCCTCCTCATTAAACATTAATCCTCCTGCCTCGCTGCTGCAGCTGTTCATCTCTCTGTAAACATGCGCTCCATCAGCCACATGCTCCCCTGCTTTAATCTGCAGGAACATGAGGATTCACACATTAACTCCATGTCTTCTTAGTAACGATCAGAAACTGTTTTCACTTAGCTGCTGTATATGTTAAACATTTCAAGCCCACCACCAAAACTCTCCTGTACATAAATGTGTTGGTAATAAAAAAACAAGTCAGTCAGTGTCTGCTTATTAGTCTGAGCTCTCTAGCGCCGCCTGCTGGCTACTGTCATACACAGCTTTTTATTTAAATATAAACACCGTAGTCCCTCGCTACTTCGCACTTCGTTTATTGCGGACTCACTCTATTGCGGTTTTTCAAAATAAGGTAGAACGTGACACACAATCAGCTGATTGATGGATAAGCCACACGATCGGCATGGAATTTTTATTTAAAATTAATTATTTTAAATTATTTAGCACCTCCTGCCGCTTTGTGCAGCCCACACCTCAGGATAAACTTCCTGCTGCCGCTGATCAGCTGTTCACTGTGCAGAGCGGAGAAGTGGGCGTGGCCAAGAGCGCTTACAGGTGGCAAAGAGCAGAGGAGGCAGGAAGCTGAAATCATGACATTCTGTGCTCTTTTAGAAAATTTAGAGTTTAGAAACATTGTTTAGAATATTGCAAGAGTGTGAGAAAGGTTTAAAACACCTTTAAAAGAAAAACAAATATATATATACATATATATATATATATATATATATATATA